GAAGGTTTAAAAGGCAGGCAGTTAGAAGGAAAGAAGTAAAAAGTATCCTGGATAATCCCTACACTGACCAGTTAGTCTCTTAGTAAATCAAGAGAAGGTTTTGCATTAAGGAATTAGAAGTGTCATTTCCAACTTGTGATTTCTGCAAATATTGGATTCTTTCCAAGCTGGATTTATAAGCAGATAAAACCAGAATTAAAAGGAGGCCTGGGAGAACATCACCTATTCTGAATCACTTCCAAATTTCAGTAGCTTAATAAAAGGTTGGTTGAGACACAGCAGTTTTTTAACCTTTGTGCGCTGGTAAGATACTAAGCAGAAAAACTCAGAATTATGCTAGAAGGACAAAACAGCCTATTAACAGAAGAGAAGAAAAGAGTGTATTTACATGCAAAGTTAAACATCAGAGGAGATTTTCAGAAATGCTCTGGAACTTAAAAAATGTAATACACAAGATGTATTTTAAAACGTTCTCATTTAAGTGTAGGTAAATATGTTCCATGTGACGTATCATCTGCATTTTTGAAAGAATACCAATGAGAAATAGGCTATCATTAACAGTACTCAAAAAGCCAAATACCTCCACATCTCTGCATTAAATTTTAATTTAACCCTATAGCATTTAAGAGAAGACGTTTGGGTTTCTCACCAACCTCAGTTACCAGAAACAAACCACACTGTTTGTGATAAACACTTCAGTTTCATGGAAGAAGCCAAATCTAATCTTAAAGAAAATGAGAGGTTATAGACGGAGAAGCTGAGACTTTACTATGGAAAAGGCTAGGCAGGAAACATTTGTCATACTATGCCCCCTACCATCCAAAACCAGAAACACCAATTATGTATCTGGGAGACTTACTGCATCTTAAGGAGTTTTATCAAGAAGTTTTCAGAGATCCCTGGTTAAAATGTGACTAGGCACATAAACAGGAGGAAAATAGAAAATTAAGTCACTGCATACCAAGCTCAAGAAATCCCAAAAACCATAATAAAGTTATGATTTGTCTATCCACCTTTCAGTAATTCAACCTGAAATGTGGCTTACAACTATTCAAATAAATGAAGCAAATCTACCCGGTGTACCACACAGATAAATCCTACGTAGTTCCAAGACTAGTACAGGCAGTGGGAGTTAACAGTAGCTAATAATGACCATGCGCTTTTTTCTTTTTTCTTTTAAGATTTTATTTATTTGAGAGAGAACAATCAGGGTGAGGAGCAGAGGGAGAGGGAGAAGCAGACTCCCTGCTGAGCAGGGAGCCCAATGTGGGACTCGATTCCAGGACCCTGGGACCATGACCTAAGCCGAAGACAGACGCTTAACCAACTGAACCACCCAGGCATCCCATGACCATACTTTTGAATGATAGGATAGGATGAAGGAGCCACGGAGTTACGGCTGTACCACGTAGCCAAGATGTGAGTTTTCAAGCAGCTTTTCCAAAGGCTGGCATGTGCCTCCTCTCTACACAATTTTCATTCTCTACCGTGTTTGTGCCTCATTAAAAATTAATTAAAAGGGTTTGGTAGCATTATTACCAAATACATTTTTTAAAGATTTTATTTATTTGACAGAGATCACAAATAGGCAGAGAGGCAGGCAGAGAGAGAGAGAGAGAGGAGGAAGCAGGCTCCCCGCTGAGCAGAGAGCCTGAAGCCAGGCTTGATCCCAGGACCCTGAGATCATGACCTGAGCCGAAGGCAGAGGCTTAACCCACTGAACCACCAGGCGCCCCTCAAATACATTTTTATTTCAGGATTTTGTTTTCTAAAGAAGGGGAAGAAAGAATGTACGTGTTGTTGTTTAGGTTGGTCTTCCCCATACCAGATTTGCCCCAAATTAGGGAAGGTTGACGTTCTGCTCTCTCAATCCTCTGGCTCTATTTTGATATAGAACATACAGTTAAATGATATATTTGCTCTCTATTCCAAACTGGATGCAATTGATTTTAACTGACTAAATGATCTAATCTCTGCCAAGAATTTTATTTCATTAAGAAAATGATATTATAGAGCATCTGAGATCATAGAGCAGACTAAACATAATGCCAAAGGAGTTCTGAGAATGTTCCACAGTGAAGGTTTGATTATTTACAGATGGAATATAGAAGAAAAAAAAAATCAGCTCACAGGCATCAGCCTAACCAATCCTGGTATCACTGCTGCCTACACAGTAGCACAAAGCCAAGGAAATAACTGATCTTCGAAGCCACAACACTCTTTTTTTAAGGTCCTAATCACTTTTCTCCCTAGAAAGTAATATTTAACTGCCACTATCCAAAACAAAGGGAAAGGGGGAAATGTTGGTACCACAATAGGCTCTAGTATGTCAACGGTCACTGCTGACATGATTTGGCTAGTGGTCAAGCATTCACCAAGGAACTAATTTAAATCAATCTCCTTTGGGAAAGTCAATTGTTTGATTCCACACCAATTGTTGCGCATACCAATCAGTGGACATGAGATCAATTAAAACCAGCTTAAGTTTGTGAAGAGGGGCAATTCACACAACCTGAGTTAGATCTCTATTCATTTCAATACTCTCACAATGCAAGCCTTAAGCTTCCTTGCAAAGCAGAAAAGCTACTATCACCCTCTGCTGTCTAGCCAGGCCTTCAAGGAGTTCCACTTTTAATTAAAAACACAGTACACCCTTTGTTGGCACAGATAGTGTGGTCACTTTTAAAAACCATAGTTATTTTAGCCAAAACGTGGAATTTGGGAAGGGACGTCCGTTAAAGGCGGGTGGGGGGATGCAAACTTTTGATAAAAATTTTTTCTTTACACAATTTCTTTACCAATTTACATAGAGCGAAAGTAGTTGAATTTTATTACATCAAAACGTTGGCTTGGCAAAAGTGACTACTGCACACTTTAGGACTGGGTTTCTAAGTGTCAGCACTTGGGGCTGTGAAGGGTAATTGCTAGGAGATTTTGCCAAAGCAGCTTTGAAATGAATAGGTTTTGGGTCAGATACCTAAGAAGGCCCAGGGCCAACTCTGGAGATGGCACTGCCGGGAAGGGCCTGCAGTGCCGCTTCTGGCCGCAGGGGTGCTGTCATGTCCTCTACGACACAGCTCCGCGGTGTGAAGTTCTCCGGCCACACTAGGTTAGCTGGATTCCTCCTCGATCCGCCACAATGGGACGGGCAGTGGGGATCAGAAAGACCTCACGGAATTGGTCAGTCATAATAAAGAACCAGCTGACAAGGCGTCTTGGGAATTTCTCTATTTGCACGAACTTTAAGCATCTCCGTTTTTCCCCAACCAAGTAGACAGCACCTTGTGCTGGTAAGAGGTGATAAAGCCTTTCCAAACACTTTCGACTACGGTGTAACCAAAATTTGCCAGATCTGCGAGTAATACCTCAAAAGAAAATACCAGGCGGAGAAAGGAGCCAGCGGGGAGGAGGAGTGGAGGAGATGATGGAAAGGGACCTTTTCAGGACGACCATTAGCATTAAACTTTCGTGGCCTCTGGAAAGAAATTTCTCTGCAGCGTTTTTCTGCGAAATGATTTCTGAAAATAAGAATTTTCCGAATGCCAGGAATGAGAAAAAGAGACAGGACGGACTGTTTTCTTTAAAACAAAAACAAAAACAAAACAGATCCGTAGCGTCAATTGGAGAGCAGAGGTTACGGAAGTCGCACACCACTAGTCATCGGAGCTCGGCCCTCCGGCCCGCCGACCTCCAACCCTCCGGGTAGTGGCAACAGCTTAAGGACGTCCTAAAAGGCGGTGAAAAGTTAGGGCGAGAAGAGCGTTCTCCAAAATCTGGGTGCAGGACCGGAGATTCCATAAAATGTGTTCTAAACATACCCTATCACAGATCGAGCGCGACATTTATATGGGGGCGGGGGGACAAGTTCTGTTAACTTCCAGACAAATTCTACCGGTGCAGAAGTCCAAATTGCTAGACGAAGACAGTTCTAAGGGGCTGCTGGGCACCTTCCATGCTCCCAGTAATGCAAGGACTGGTTGTGTGTGTGTGTGTGTGTGTGTGTTGGGGTTGTGTTCAAATCCCCCTAGAAGACTTCATTGTGTGTAGCGGCCCTTTCCCTAAATGCAGCTGGATTAGCTGCAGCCCCAGCAGGACTCAGAAATAGGCGCACAGTAAATCTGCCTGAAAGCTAGCTCTCTGGTATCTTTCTGGAGACTTCCACTTGTCTTCCCCGGAGCGCACACAAGTGATGGAGATTGAGGGAGCGGTTAAAAACCGCAAGGGAATTTCATTGAGAACAGAACCAGCTAGTTTTAAGGAACGTATATAGAGAGCGCAAAGTCAGGCCTGTCCCCAAAACATCACTCCGCACGCCAGCACTCCCCCAGAAAACCCGGGTACAAGTTGCTTCTCAATGCAAAAAGTTCAATAAATCATCCCACATAGTCTTGGGGTCCAGAAAAAGAAATCAGTTTTGTCCTTTCCCTGTAAATGTAGGTCCCCCGCCTTGACTTAGTACCCCTTCTCAGCTTGCTCGCTCTCTCGCGCTCTCTCTCTCTCTCTCTCTCTCTCTCTCTCTCTCTCACACACACACACACACATAGACACATCTAGGCCGTGTTCAAAGCTATCTGGGGCGCACATGGATGGGGAAGGTAGACAGAGATGAGCTGCCGGGGAGACGGTTAAGAGGACTAAAAAGAGAGAAGGACAAAGAGAAGAACAAGAAACAGTGTATGCCCGATAAGCAGGAAGAGCGAAAGAGAGGAGTTCAGGAGTAGAAGCGGGGCAGCGAACCGGGCACAAACCACACCACTGAGCCCCGAGCGCCCGCCGGGCTCACCCGGCTCTCCAGCACGTCTCGCTCCGGCTCGCAGCGCCTTCCGAAGACAGAAAAGAGCGTTCGGCCGAGCTCAGGGGCCCAGAAAGTGCAGAGCGGTGGCGCGCGCGAGCGGGGTGGAGGGCACTGCAGGCCCAGCGGAGCCCCAGGGCGCCCGGGCACTAGCGCCGCGACCCGCCCCCACTCCGACCCCAAGCCCCTCGGGCAGAGCAGGACTCACCTCGTTTACTGCGTCTCCATCGATTGCCTTGGCAGTGGCTGTAATCCATACAATTCAGGATGATGAGGGCAAAGGAGAAGAGGCGAAACTGCATCTGGGCGGTCGGGCGGGGGAGAGGCGCCTCTCAAAGTCGGGGAACCGGATAGCTCCTGCGAGGAGCCGGCGCCCACCGCGCTGCCAGGAGAGACGCCGAGGGCGAGTGGCCACTAGCCCGGGGCGGGGGGGGGGGGAGCTCCCGCACTGGTCAGTTCGGAGCGGCCAGCATCTCTCAAACCTTGAACCTGAGAGACGAGGAGGAAAAACAGAGTGGAGAGAGCCCCGGGGAGACAGCCTCTTCGCGCGTCCCAGTTTAAGAGGAGGGAGCGGGGCGTGAACCCACCGCTTGGCACGAGCCGCGGGGCAGTTTAACCCCGAGCCCACAGCTGCGGGCGACTTGGAGAGAAAGGTGATTTACTATCAGTGAATTAGCAACCCCAGCCGAACTACAGGCTCGGACCCGGGGGAAAGGGCGTGGGGCGGCCAGTCCAGGGAAAGGAAAGGGCTCCAAAGGCACCAAGGGCGCAGAGTTCAAGGAGCGCCCCTCCGCCCTCAGGTCCCACGGCGGGGTTACCCAGCGCCGTGGCCGCGGTGGCCGGACGTGGGTCGCCTACCGTCGCACTTACGTCTCGGACCGTGCGGCGAGCCTAGGCGCGGCGCTCCATCCCGGGCAGGGGAAGCGAGGCGCCTCGCTAGCACGTGGGCCGGGGAAAAGTTTGCCGAGAGGTGCCGGGAGCGCCCGGCAGGTCCGGGATTCCGGCGGCCACCGCGGGTCCGCAGTGCTCTCACGGTCCTCTGGGCCGGCGGTGCCTAAGCAGGAGCGCGGCGGGAAGGCGCGTCTGCAGCCTCGGGGATGCTGCGTCCCCGCCGGTGAGTGCGGTCCTCGGGCGACCGGCACCACCGGCTCTCACTCTCTAGGTCCCTGTCCAACTGTGCGGTTTCCCGGGCTCTACTCCACAGCCACTTCACAGCTAGGATTTCTCCCTTTCCAAGCTATGGCAGACAGAACGCTCCCGCGAGGCCGCAGGGATGTGGCGAGCGCACTTTCCGACAGAGATGCAGCCCGGCGGAGGCGAGGCTCGGGATGCTTCTATAAGTAGGTGGTGCTGTGGTCCAAGGCATCAATGTCAGGCTGCCTCGGAGTTCCTGGGTCCTAAAGCCAGAAACTCTCCGGTTTCCCTGAGGTCCTAAAGAGCGCTGACAGCTTCCAGCGAGCCCAACCCCAGGCAAATTCCCTCCGGGCTTTCCTGGAGTGCACGGCTAAACCAAAAGGAAGCTGGGGGTGGGGGTGGCCCTGGACCGCACTGGCAGGGGGATTCCCGCCGACTTCACCCGCAAGGCGTCTATTTCGGGCGCTCCCCGGGTGGGTTCCAACCCTTGCCCTGACCTCCGGGCCAGGAGGATCTGCCAGACCCGTCCTAGCCCACCCTTCCTGAGCTCCCTGCCGGCACTGCGGCTTCTGGCGGACTGAGTTTGAACTTGAGCTACATCCCGAAAGATACACCCCAGCCACTTGTTAATTTACGTCTCGGCTTTGTTATACAGAAGATGTTATCAAGGCTGAAATTAAAATGCGCCCTCCGTGTAGGGAGTGAGCGAGGTTTTCCAATAGCTTTTGCATGTCCTCACAAGGGTTGTTTCTTGACTTTGTTTCTTCTCTGGAAAAAAAAAAAAAAAATTGCAAAAACTTGTGGTCCCTTGCTTGCAGGATTCAAGAAATTGGGACCTTGCTTCTTTAAAGAAAATTTCACTTTCCACTGAAGTATTTCTCAGTCATAATCCTTCCCTCTCCCTCCTCCCTCAAAGACCCCTGACCTAAACTTCTGGGTGCCTGGGTTTGGGGACTACTGTTTAACGAAGGGTTACACGACATACACTTGATGCTACCTGATTTTTTTTTTTTTTGATGGTACCTAATTTCTTTCTGTTGAAATCTTCTGTCCTGCCCTCACTGCTGTAGGAATGAATGTATTTACTCCTTAGGCAAAAGATTTTTTTTTTTTTTACTGCCAACCATGACAGTATGAATGTTTGTAGATATGACCATATGCTACCATATCATATGGCTTAAATTTCCTTTTCTATGTCTTCAGTTTCAGATGTTCAGAAATTTAGAAACTTGACACAATCGTGTTGAAACAATATGACTATTAGAATAGTGTTTATGAACTGTTCCATTATTGTCTATCCATAACTATTTTTACAGACATCACTATTACATAACAATATTTATGTGCTAAGAACTTCAGTGTTATTTCCTTTATGCATGCTTGAGAACATCCAAGATAAATCTGAGTTGAGGTCACTGGTCCCATTTCGTAGATAAGAAAATTCAGCCCCTGAGACTGGCCCACAGGGCACAAATAGAGTTGACAAAACACACTGCAGGAACAGTGGATCTGTTTCTCAGTTTTCAGAGTCTTTGATTTTTATCACGGAATTGGAAGCAACTGGAAATATTCAGCTTAGGGAGTGGCCTAGCATTTAGCATGATGGCTGGATATTCCAGTAGATATCCATCATCTTAAATATATATATAAATACATCACTCACATAACGCACACACCAAATTTATTGCACTTCTAAAGAAGTCAAGTCCATGGTAGCATAAAGACTTCTCTAAATAAGCCCTCAGCCTTTCTATACAGCGCTGAGACCCCTTCAAGATCAGTGGTTATCAGTGTCTTTTGGAATATTTATTTACTTATTTTAAAATATATAAGGGCAAAACGAGCACAAGATCAAGTAGATCTAGCTCTACCATTAACCCCCTTGATCACTTTTGGTAATTTTCCGAATCTCGGTTTCCTTGGCAGTATTCTTAGAAAATTGGAACAAGATCTCTTCTAGCCTTGCCATGCTCTGGTTCGCAATCAGTTTTCTATTTCTATCAAGAAGTTTCTGTTTCAGTGGGGTCTAACTAGTGTGAGGACAAACTCATTGATAGAGTTTCAGTGTAGAAAGATGTCAATCATAGTTAAATTACAGACCACTTTCAACCTTCTGTCTTCAAAGATTACTTTCCATAATTTCAATCATTTAGGTTGCACAGCTGGAATTTTTTTTAAGCCAGAGAGCCTTTTCAGTTTAGTGAACTCCTAGATTAATTTCCTGTTAAAAAAAAGAAGAAGAAGAATTTTAACAGTGCAACTTCTGTTGAAGATTGGTTGGTGCTCTTAAGATGAGAATGGGCTCTGAGAGAAAGAAGAGTCTTAATTCCTTTGTCCTTGTGCTTGCTCCTGGTCTGTCTCTGCTTTTTAGAGGATACCACTGAACCTCAAAAATCTGTCACACTTAGTTCTTGGGGTACTGAGAGACTCACTCTTAATCTCTTACGGGCTACTTTGTTGATAATGCAGACTTTTTTTTTTTTTTTTTTTTTTTTTTGGCCAGTCACTGAATATTTTTCCTGATTTCAAGAACCCAGGAATGTTCTTGCTACTAAGAAATACAACCCAAGCAGATCCTAAACTATCATTAACTTTAATCCCATATTTCTGCTTCCTTTCATTTCTAAACTCTGAATGTGTTGTTGTTGAACCTCACAGCTCACAGTTTCTCTATCTTGGAGACTCAGTGGGCTTTTTTTCTTCAAACTGAGTTTAGATGGTGGTTTCATTAAAGTAGCTTTATAAATAGAGATGTGCCTGGTGTCTGTTTACAGAGAAACATACTGGTGAGATTGACTTCATACCACTCATTGGCTATAGAGAAGGTCAAGTGAGGGCAGTTGAGGAATGATGTTATAGATGGAAGGCAACTTGTGTACTTTACTTTCCTGACTTGTAACTTAATGATACAGCTAAAATTCAATCCTTAACAAAGAAGATACAGGGAAAAGGCTCTTCCCCAGCCAGTCAATTCGCCTCTGAGACAACCAGTTATTTGGGTATAACCTTCCAGGTTTTGAATATACTTCCGGAAATATGTTGTGCTTATGAAGAAAATGTGTGTGTGAATATGTGTGTGTGTGTGTTTGTGTGTGTGTGTGTGTGTGTGTGTATTCTCCCCACTTTTATGCAACTAGTGGAATCTAATCTGCATCTTGATTTTGTTTTCATGCATCTTAAAGTTCATTTGGTATCAGCTCATAAAAAACTTTGCTGTTCTTTTTACACAATCATATATCATTTCACTGCATGGTTGTTTTCAGGCAGCTCCCTACCAAAAACATTTAGGTTGTCTTCATCTTTTCCTGTTATAAGCAATGCTTCAGTTAACCTTTTCATGGCTCATTTTACTTTTGTGTCATAGATTCCTAAAAGTAGCAAAGTTGGATCAAACAGTTGGATATGCATGTGTGTGCATTCTTAAAACTTGCCTCCCACATAAGTTCGTCAAACCACAGCATAAAAGAGTGCCCATCTCCTTAAATACTGGCCAACATGTTCTCATTCTTGATACTCCTAGGCAAACAGTGATACCTCAACAGTTTCAGTTTTTTTATTTCTTTTAAATAAAATTATGTGCTTTTAATATGCTCAAGCTATTTCCTTTTCCATGAACTCTCCAAAGGTATTATTTACCTTTTATTATTTACCTCTATGTTGTTGGTCATTTACTATTGTTTTATATTGTTTTATAGAATATATATATATATATATATATATAAACATACAGAATATGTATATATGTACATAGGTGCACACACACACACACACACACACATAGTATTTTGATTTTTTTGCAAATAATTTGTTAACTTCATGATTTTTCTTTGTTTTTAATGTGTATAATTACTGTGCTGCAAATTTTAAAATATTTTTATCTAGTTAAATTTGTCACTGTTGTCTTGTATAGACTTGTTTGTGTCATACTTGTAAAAGCTCTTACCCATGCCATTTTTCTTAAATTTTCATTTGGGAATTTTCTAATACATTTTTTGATGTTAAAAACCATAAGATATTAGCGATTTTATGACTGCATGATATGACTACACTATAATGGATTTAAATTTTTCTGAACCTTTCTTAACTATTGATATTCACAGATTTGGTAGACTTTGGCCCCAACTCTCATTTTCATTAGCTAATGGCTTTAGAGTTCTCTTATCTTTTATGCTATGAGATGTTCATATTCTCAGATTTAAAGTTTCCCACTATTTTGTTACTCACTGTTGATATTTGTTGATGTTGTTCCTGCCCTTCCAGTCTAGAATTTATCCATTACCTCAAAACAAATTATGGTGTTTTTGCCATTGCATCGATATGGATAGTATTTTTTTCTATTAAATATAAGCTGAGTATTTATTTTGCTAATTGTATGTGATAGCCTGTGTTCATGTATTATACTGTGTATGAAATAATTAAATTAATTAATATGAAAGATCTTCAGCAAGGTCACTGACCAGTCCTTATCTAAGCTAATTTGTTGTTTTTAAAAGCCACACCATAATCACTTATTTAACATTTGAAAAATGTGTAAATATTTGACTTCTCCAAACGTTAATAATACTGTGTTCTCCCACTTGAGAACTCTTCTGTAGACTGATGTGATAAGGCTTCTTTCTCATTTTGTTCTCCATCCTCATGGAAGAGATCCAGGAGGCTCTCTTCAAAGGAAGTCCAAGTCAGACCAGCTCATAAGAGAAAACTCAAGATTTGACCTGACATTTTACAATTATTTCCTTTATTTAATCTTGTGTGCTCTGAACTCTTTTGAACTAAAGTAGTATGTGTCGATTCCATTCTTTTCTGTGCAAATGTGGTTGCTGGAATGAAGTGTTACTACACTTGGTTAATGACTAGAGAC